AAACCTTAAAGCCAATAATTTTTCTTTGGATTGTCAAATTTCAATAAATTTTAATAGTTTTGCGTAGGCTTATGATGATTCTATCCCAATATCTCATTATAATTTTAAAACTCATGTAAATAAGTATTTCGCTGCCGGCGGAAAAATCAAATCAATGCGAAAATATCTTAATTTCAAGTGCAACAATCGCATTGAAGATTATGTACACCACCAAACAACCCCAAACACAACTTGATTAGTATTTTAATATAGCATTGGGTTCTCTTAAAACAAAGATAAATCGTGTTACTAGCAGATGTTTTAGTTTGTACTTCATCAAATGCACCAGTTTTTAACTCTCCGCCAAAAAAAAAAATGGAAATCTGGATTTGGGGGAGGGAAAAAATCTTCAAAATCCAATTATAATTTAAAACATCAAGTAAATAAGGATTTCTCTAAAGCGGGAAAATCAAATCATTGCGAAAATCTGGATTTGAGGGAGGGGAAACCTTAAGACTAATAACATTTCTTTGGGTATTCCAATTTCAGTAAACTTGGTATCATTTTCCAATGTTATGATCATTCCATCTTCAAAATCCCATTATAATTTAAAACATCATGTAAATAAAAATTTCTCTAAAGCGGGAAAAACAAATCATTGCGAAAATATTTTAATTTCAAGTGCAACAATCATATAGAAATCATTACCCCCTTAAACTAAACTTGATTGGCTTTTTCCTGTAGGTTTCTAGCCTCTTCAACAAAACAAAGAGCATGTTGCTAGCAAAGTTTTATTACACCTTACTCTTTATCCAGAACCAATTCATTGTTTTTTTGTTTTTTCAGCTATTTCTGAATCTTTTGTTTGATTGGAACTAATTTTTAAAAAAAATAAGACAATAGTACATTAATGGAATTAATTATAGTTGTTTTCGAAGATTAAAGATTTGGACATTATGCAATAATCACAGAGCATAAAGTGTTCGGATGAACTATATCCCTTAGTTCTAAATTTCGCGTCTAAGACCCGCCTTGTCTCACCCATTGTAGCGTAACACCCTCATTTCCTTCGTATTCCATTGGTGAGATGTAAGTCCTTTTTGTGCAGCTTCTTCTGTGAAATCGACACCCCAAGAAGATCACTGCAATCTTAACCTGTTCAACTCTAGCGCTTATCATCACCATATATCCGTATAAATTATAACTCTTATCCCCGAGTAGCTGACGGACATTGTCGAGGGTGAAGATCATTTTAGAAAGAAAAATAAGAATTTATCATTTTTACCCATTGTAAAATATCGAAAATAACCTTAGGATTTCAGACATTATTTATGGGATGATCAGATAACAGGGACTCTTATCCTTGAGGCATTTTGGTATAATAAATCGCTCGTCCTCTCTCGGAGTATTAAAGTACAAACGCCATTTATAGGATGATCCGATGTTTTCTAACGCTTTCCTGTGTATATTTGCCACAGGCATCGATGTTGTTGACTGATGAAAAGAGTTCATTATTCGAGCGAAGCGAGTAATGTAAAATGAATTACGTTTTCAGACGAGTGACCTGTCATCGCAATCAGCGAAAAATCCTTATGACTTTGAAATCTGAACCTGACATTGCTCTCTCATAAGTGGCTGACATCATGCTAAATCGGAATGCCATTAATACAAATAAATATCTCAATCTAGGAATATCCACCCACGCAGAAATATCTACATAAAGTCGAGGTCAGTCTCTCATCCCACTTTTGCTTCCACCCACAACCGCCACTTTCGCTTTCCAAAATCATTCCATTTCCTCTAACATTGCAATGCATTCATGAAACGATGATCCTCGCCATTTCTAAGTTAAATCCATTTGCTTTCATTACTCTCTAACAGAACAAAGTTTTCAAACTCCGGTTATTGATTCAATCATAACGATAATGGCGATAGTGAAATTAGGTGTTTCCGTATAAGGAAACATTCGGCATTCATTGACATTACTGCCGGTTAAAATTCATAAATTCAGAAAAATATTAAGTCCGCTAACTGCAGTCGCTCATTCTAGTGTTGATGGTAGTTTCCTTCCTAACCTTTTGTTTGAAGTAGTGCGGAATGTCAACATCTTGATTATGTCATTATTTTCTCTTCCAGTAACATGCGCTATCCATTTTAACTGTTGCTGCTGTTGAACGTCTTCAAGTGACGTGAATTCTATTATTTGGTAAAGTTCTTTGGTCGTGATTCTGTGAGGATGTGCAGGTGGTGTAATGGATAGTGGCTCGGAATGTGAAATAGGAGAGAAGAGTTCGAATTCTTGTCGGGTTCGTTACATTCAATTATGCGCAAATAGACTCAGGAAAGGTATGAATCCATCTCTTCCCCTAAGCTATGGGTTATATAGTCGGGCTTTGCATGTGGGAAAATAATTGTTATTCTCAAAAATCTGTGTTATATTAACTCGCACAAAAAAGAATTTTTCCTACAATCCAAAATATTTTTCGGCTTTAAGATAAACTCCAAAAAACAAATCAATCAATCGTGATTCTGTAGCGCCAGTCTATAAGATCTGACGAAAGATAATCTTCTTTAAGCATTTGTTTAGAGACACTCGTCAATAAGTCATATTTTCACTTTCAAATGAAGGAATAAACGGAAAGACGGTCAAATGGACAGCCTAGTCGAGAACGCGCTTGCCTTGAATTCTGCCAGATGATCTTGTATATCAATGTACTAACGTGAAGATTCATGTAGTATAAAGGTTATTGACGCTCAATTGAAATCGGCGAGTCGAGTTCAAAATCTGATCTAGCCTTCATCACGCTAATTCCCGTGGGAAAAGGCATCAATTCGTCTTTTCTCCCTTTACCACAGATATAGATTAAATAACAGAATAGACACTGCTCTCCAGCCTTGAGTGGCAGCCAGTCGAGAAGGAAAACTAAATGAATTCCAAAACCGTGACAACAGCAACAACTGAAATGGATTGTACATGAAACTCGAAGGGAAGATAATAACATAATCGAGATATTGAGTTTCCACACTACATCAAACAAAAGGTTAGGAAAGAAACCCCCATCAATACTGAATTTTTTCTCAGTAGCACTGACTCTTCAGTCAATGAAAGCCGAATGTTTCCTTATAAAGAAACGGCTAATATCACCATTATCATTACTAAATGTCCAATTTGAGCATTGATACTCAGTAGTTAATATTATTTCTGATTCTACGACGATTTGACCTTTGGTAAGATGTGAATTAGAAATCCTCAAGGATTGTTTTTTGTTTTTTTCTTTTCTCTTAATTATATTAATTATAAAAGAAGAATGAAAAGTTAATTGTTATGATATGAGCCTGTGTTTTCTCGTTACTAAGCCTATGGTTACAGAACGTAGAAGAAACAACGAAAAAGCAATAAACATTTGTATTAACATAAAATATATTAAATGAAAAATCAGGGTAGATGTCTGTCGTATGAAAATAACTGATAAATGGAGTTATAAAAGGTGTCCGGTGAGGCGTACGGAAGGAGGATGGAGGATGGGTTGTGACTTACTGGAGCAACAGCGTTTGGTGAGTTGGTATATAATCTGATGTCACTTGAAGATGGGAGGTCGCTTCCTGACGAAGTCTGTGAACCTGAATTCTGATACCGTCCAACTGCTGAAAATCTCCCTTTAATGGGCTTTTATGTCCTTTTTTTAAGCTGAAATCGGCTCCATTTTTTTATTTTGTTTCATTTGGGTGGAAGCAGGTGCTGCTGGGTGGAAGCAGGTGCTGCTGGGTGGAAGCAGGTGCTGCTGGGTGGAAGATTTGCACTGCTTCTTCTTCTTCTTTTTTTTTCTTTTTTTTTAAGCGTTTCACCCCAAGCAAGGGACGCAAGGGGTTACAGAAAATTTGGAGCAAGATCAGATAGGAGTGATAGAGGAAAGGATGAGGAGAAGGATAGTGGATAGATCAAGGCAACTGGAGATGTCGATTGACATTACATTTGAATAGTTGGAGATTATAGCTATCAGGAAAAATGGAATAGGGAAGGGAGTTCCACAGGCAAGAGGTGCGAGCTATGAAGCTATTGGAGTAGAAAAGACGGCTACATTTAGGAGTTTCGACAGTGAAAGGGTGAGAGCGGGATGCCAGCCTCGTAGAGCGCTTGAATTCATGAAGTCTGGGAACCAGCGAATGCAGCGAATCGCAGCAATTACCATGAAAGTATTTGTAAAAAAGACAGAGAGAGGCGACGGCGCGTCTGTGAGAGAGCGACTGTAGACGAGATGCCAGAACAGGGCCAATTATATTGCATATCCGCCTCTGGAGCCTATCAAGAACCCCGAGGCAAACAGAGGGGGCTCCAGACCATATATGGCAGCAATACTCCATACAAGGGTGAATTGTTGATTTGTAGATCTGAAGGATCGATTCCAGGGAGAAAAATTTCCTGGCGCGGCACAGGGAGCCAACTTTCCTTGCGGTGGACGAAGCAATTGACTCAATGTATTTGTTCCATCTCAGGTCAGCAGTCAACGTGAGACCGAGCAGCCGCAGAAAGGTGCTCTCGAGAAGTTGAGCGTCAGATATTCTAATGGAGGGCAGGCTGGGTAAAAGGTAGATATGCGTCTAACCCTTACGAAGTTTACGGATTTTTAGTTCTGTTTTGGGTGTTCGGGGTGTCCATATCTGACCAGTGGTGGAAGTTACTGCAGGTTGAATCAGAAGATCTGATTTTAGAAAGAATTTAATACAATGAAACATTTTTTGTGTATTCTTTACTTGCATAAATTTCGCCTTATTAAAACCTTTTGTTTTCTTTTATTTTTTAGGAATCTGATACAGACGAAGTGGAGGATGAAGGCGAAAGCGAATCGAAACCCCTTTTAGCTTCCGAGGTTCTAAGCGGAAAAGAAGACAACAAAGAAAACGGGAAAGGTCCAGTACATTTCGGCAATTCTTTGGCATTCGAGAATTTCCCCAGTAATAACGACGTTCTGCCAACGGCCACCGACACGAATGAGGCAAATCTAAATCCAAATATCTCGTCCATGGAAAACAACAGCTATCAACCGACGGGGCCGCCGGAACCTGAAGTTTTGTGGCTGGAACAGGCCGTAGAAGAGTCAACTATTGGTTCGGTTACTGCAGGACTCACCCAATCAGATTCGAGTCTCTCATCTGGTAACAAATTCTATAGCTATGGAACTGGGCAGTTAGAGTATGTTTCTCCATGCCAACCAAATAATGGAGATATGACGAGTGCAAGTAGCAGCCCCCTGAGTTCGCCTTGTTCGGATAAGAGTCCAGCAATTACGTTACAACAATCTTTAGGAGTTGAGGGAAATCTTCCGCCCGGCAACTTAGAAGATGGACCGGTTAAACTTCACGAAGTGACACCCCATCCAGATATCTGCGATAACCAGCCGAGTGTGTTGTGCCATGTAAAACAGCCAGTTCCAGAAGAAAGCACTAAGCCTCGACATACTTCTACTGTGGAAAACGCCGGACAAGACCCAACTATAAGTCGACATGACAACACTACAAATATAGATAATAACCGCAACAACAATCCGAACGGTCTGCCCTGCAACAATGTCACTGTATCCTCCACTACCAATACTACCACAGCCACTACTTCCTCCATATCATCTTCCAATTCGGAGCCACAGCCGACTGGGACGGGTGGTCATGTGCGATCTGAACAAGGTGATACGGAGAGCGATGTCGTTCTTGTCGACGTGGAAGGCAACTACACGCATCAAAGGAAAAACCTACTCGACGAAGAGGATACCGTACCTTTGGCTAATGCCAATCTAGAGCGTGTTCCGGCGCAGAAAGAGTCACCGGATGACAAGAACAGACGGGACCATCCCCTTCCTACCTCCACCACAACCGCAGCCACCACTTCCGCCTCCCCACGCCACTCCACCTCCACTACCTCCTCCCCCAAAGCCATTCCTAATGTAATTTCTAGTTTACCGCCCATGGCTTCGAGAGATACTGATTATCTTTAAAGAGGAAAATGCATTTCGGAAAGTGTTGAAAAAGAATTTGGAAATTTTTCCCAAAATAGAATTTATACTTCCTTTATGCACACCTGATTGTCAAATTGGAATAGAATATATACACATATAGACAAACACGCGATTATGGATATACACACATGCCCACAAACAATAACATAGACATACACGACGTACACATAACACACACACTTACATATATATATATATATATATATATATATATATATTATTTACATTCGGATCAATGCCCTTATCTTTGCTTTCATTATCACAGTGCTTTGGCTGTTGAGCCCTCCAGCCTTCTTCAGCTTTCTGTCGGGGCGAGTGCAACAGTCTAAACGTTGTGATAATAAAGATTTGGACTTAGTATGAATCTAAATAATGCAAATGATGGTAACTCCTCATCCCAGAAAACACACACACACACACACACACACACACACACACACACACACACACATATATATATATATATATATATATATATATATATGAATGGCTTTTGTCATGGTTGACAATAAGTGTTGGTGCAGCCTTTTGCTATCATTACTAAGTGCTCACTCACCCACTCTCCTCTTTGTCACCCAGCCAGAAATATTTTTGTCAAGATTTCTGACAATGTGACAGTTCACAGGGAGATGTCGATTCATGACTTTTCAAAGATCATTAATGGAAAATAAGCACAAACAGATTCGACAGGAATTTCAATAGTTCACCGATTCTGTTTTTCATGCTAATAATATATTTTTTCCTACTACTCCAAACATTATTTTATGGATACCCCATGTTTGAGTAGACGCATTGTTTTTGTTGTTGTTGTTGTTGTTGTTTTTCTTTCTTATATTTTATTCTATTTTTTTCTTCTTTTTTTTTACCGGTGTGACTCTCGAGCGTACAGTCCGGTAGCCGTAATTCCCACTGATTGAAAAAAAAAAAATAGAGCGTCGACTCAAACATGAGTATCCACATAACAACGTTTAGAACAGCAGGAAATAATGATAAAAAACCATCTATTCCTTAGAATTTACATATATATATATGTATGTGTATATATATATATATATATATATATATATATATATATATATATATATATATATATATATATATATATATATATATATATATAGTATGTGTGTGAGTATATATATACATATATATATATGTATGTGTGTATATAGCTGTGTGTGTATGTATGAGTGTATATACATGTATGTGCATATATATATATATGTGTGTGTTTATGAATACATATATATGTACATATATATGTACATATATATAAGAAAATTAAATAATTATATATAAGAAAATATGTACAAAAGAATATATATATATATATATATATATATATATATATATATATATATATATATAAGAAAGTATACATATGTATGTGTGGATGTGTGTGTTTCAGAAGATATAAAAGTAAAGGTAAAAATGTGTCGTTAATATTTTATTAAGAAATTAATAAAAATCAGATAATTACACGTTGTTAATCAAATATTTCCATATTTAATACAAAAATGATTTTCAGAGTTATTTTCATATATATATATATATATATATATATATATATATATATACGTATATATATATATATATATATATATATATATATATATATATATATATATATATATATATATATATATATATATATATATATATATATATATATATATATATATATATATCGAATATAGGAAAGGAAGTGATATTTCTAATGTGGTTAGCACGAAAAGAAATGAAGAAATACAGAAATCGATGCTGAATATTCGTGTCAAAACTAACTTTCAAAATCAAAATATTTGTGGAAAATTAGTTTTAGATATTTTGAAATTTTTCATTCCTTCATTCATTTTCGATTTTAAAAAAATGGTGAATTTCAATAAACTCCATTGCATAATTGTTGTTCATTTAACTTTTGCCGTTTCAATCGCAGTTTTAATTGAATTTAATTACTATTAAGTAAAGTTTCACCAAAAGCTGGTTGCTTTATCATTTTGGCCGACGGATGCGATTTAATGTAAATGGCAAGAAATCTGCAGAACGTTTGAAAGTGTTTTTATTCATAGCCAAACAGATGTAGAAAATTTCCGTAGCTATACAACTTAAACCGTAAAACTCATTTTATTGTTAATATATTGTGCATTTGCGTTGAAAATTAAACATATTTGTGATTCCGCTGCAAATATCCGTTTCCCGCATAGTAACTACATTTAAGAAATACAGTATAGGAAACATGGTAAGAAAACACAGCATAGGAAATATAGTAAGAAAACACAGCATAGGAAATATGGTAAGAAAACACAGCATAGGAAATATGGTATTTCCTGTACTGTAAGAAAACACAGCATAGGAAATATGGTAAGAAAATACAGCATAGTAAATATAGGAAATATGGTAATATAGGTTATGTTCCGTTAGGAGGGCTTTTGTCCAAGACCATAAGATACTATAAAACCAAAATTTGGACTGAAAAATTCGTGCCATATTCTGAAATAGCCTCGTCAGATCTGGACTTCCATGTGGATGTCATGTATAGCATCCAACTCATTCAATATGTTTTTAAACTAACAGCTATATACAAGTTTTCGCGATTCAATGATTAAATCCTTTTCAAGCGATTGAATCTTTTCAATGTTTTCAAGAAGACAATCCTTCATTTAATCTCATATTGGCGCTACAAGATCACAAAGAGTTTTACCAAATAACAACAACCAGTTCTCTTGAAGATTTCAACACCAACAACAAAAGTAGGTCACAGATGGCAAATTAATAATATAACCACGATGTTTACTTTAAATGGTAACTTAAGCAAAGTCTTAGGAAGGAAATATCGTCATCTGTACATAAATGAACAAACTATGGTTTTGAGAAGTCTGTTTTCCTAAAAGAAAAAACTTTTAAGAGAAATATTTTATAAATTTCAATTGACAGCAACTCTAACTGTTCGCTCAAAGAATTGCGAAAGTTTTCTGCGTGGAAACGGCTTATTTCACTAATGCTCTAAAGTTAAATAGTTTCAGTCCATTTTATCCAGTTATAAAGACAAGCCTCCAAATGAAAAAAGATCTTTAGATATTGCTTCCGTCTAAAGTATAAAGTTAACTGATCATTATCAATCATATTCGATTCGGTCTTTGCCAAAGTGAACAATGGCAATAACAGCTTTTATCTGCTACTATTTGGCAACTAACATAGTTTTGAGAAAGTGATTTTCCCATATGTTCACTCGTCTCATCGTGGCATGCCAGTAACGAGGCCCTTTTGTTTATATACAACTGATAGAAAGTTAGAGGCATTGCCGAAGAATATCGCATGGCATTTGATTTATATAATTCGCAAACAACTGAATTAAATACGAGAATTCGTCTTCTTTCTCTTGTTTGTATTTTTCATAATTCCCATTTGCTTTCTGACACTTAGAAATAAAACCCTACGCCCGCCACAGGCAGATAAATTACGTAGCACACGTAGCATTTCAGTCATTATGCGTTGTTTTTTTTACGGCCCAACACATACTCATCCAGTTGTTCGAGGTGGATGGTTTCATCGAGTTCCCATCTGTAGATAGACTGCCAACTGAGGCTAAAAAAAACCATCTGCTCATTAACATACTAAATTCAGAGTTTTTCTTTTTCCAGGCTGGTTGCCTACAAAACTAGAGAGCCTCTGCTATTTAACCCATAGCTTTTGGGAGAATAGATGGATTCACATCTTTCCCAAGGGTATTTGTGCGAAAGTGAATATAACAAACTCAACCGGAATTCGAACACGGCTCGCTGGTTTCCAAGGCGCTAACTCTTTACACTATCCTTATATATCTGCCATTTACAAGATTCTAAATCGCATATGTGTAAAACTGAAACGAATTGACAGTTTAGAATATATTATTTGCATAGAACACTTAGCTCGAATTTTGATGACGCCATTTTCCCGTTGGCCAAGAAACAAAAAAAAAAACTAAATCTGCCTTTTCTTCTCACCTTTTCTCCCATATATCCACCGACCCAAATCCGTTGAAAAATTTTACTGATTTTCAAAATAACATTAGCACGTTTCTAAATGTTTCGATTAAATTTGCAAATTCACCTGTCAAAGTTGAATCTTACAAACGTAGACTTTTTCCAGTATATCGGCAAATAGAAGATTTTAGTTTCCGTGTTTGCAATTGACGCTTTTCTTTTCATACGAATCGAATGCCGGGAAGATAAACTGAATTGATAAATTAAAACTTTATTCAGAGTTTTAATTTGTGAAAGACATTACCCAGCCAAATAAATATGTAGTGACGTCATCTGCAATTTCTTTCTTCCATTGAAACTGTTTTCATGTTATTATCGCCGTTGTTCTTGCAATTGTTGTTGGTTTAGATGCAGATCATTTTTTTTACGCATCAATTTATTCTGCAATGTAAATCAAAGTTATCAATTTTCAATCATTCTTTATTAATATCATTAACTTTGATGGTTCCTTAATTTAAAAAAAATTAAACAGTAAAAAGCTACCGAAGCCCAAACCTAGCGTAGATTTCAACCACAAAGCAATAATAGTTACCGATTACATTTTGGGTATATTTTCTTGACTGGATATTGCAATAAATAAAGGGAGATAATTAGAATGCGTGAAGAAATGGTGGCGCTGTCATAAGTAAGTCTTCTTACTGTACTGAAAAGGTTTTACTACTGTTGAATTTAGTTTGTAGCAAAGAAACAGCATTTGTGCTTTCATCAAATTTATATGGTAGAAATATTATGCTGATAATATTCCTGCAAACACTTTCTTCATTTCCTTCTGTTACTAATCTCTCTTATTCATAGAAGATTTTCTTTTATTTTCCCGTCACGGAACCGCACACTATGGCAGTCCCTTCCAACGGGATTATTATTTGAATACACTTGAACTCTAATACCGACCAACAAAATGCACACTATTTAGTCAATACATTCATATATATATATATATATATATATATATATATA